CGTGGCACTAGACGTGTTGCAACATATGGTAAGAGAAGAGAATATACCTTTGATTGATTTGTTTTAGAAATTTGATTGAGTTTTTTTTTTTGTATGTTGAAAATGTCAGAATGTAGCAGAGAAGTTGGATTATGTAAGAAGAAAAGTAAATGAAGCTAAGTTGATTATTGAAGAGAAAATGAAAGAAGTCAAAGTCAACGCTGAAAGATCAGACAAAGCTGAATGGGCAATCTCTTTATGCAATTGCAGAGTAAAAAAAACCAGACCTTTGGACTGATACTTTAACAAGAACTGAGATTCTTTGGAGTCTTTAAAAAAGCTTTCTTGTTTTATTGGTTTGAATGCAGATTGAAGAGCTTGAAGCTGGGATTAGAGAAGAAAGCGAGGGACGAGAGAAGCTTCAAAGGACATTAGATTCGGATAGAGAATGTATCGAAGAAGCGAAGAATGATGTTGAAAGAGGAAAAACAAAGCTTTATTGGCTTGGGGAGCTACGAGAAGAGCTCTCGAGCAAGATTGAGACAATGACGGAGGCTAAATCGCAAGCTGAGGCCGAGCTAGAGAGAATTGCGTTACAGAGAGCAGAGATGGTAATGGAGATTGAGAAACTTAAGAATCAAAGAGATGTTTTCAACCATAGGATTGAGTTTTGCAAAGAGAAAGAGGGGAGTGGGTTGGTTTCAAAGGAAGAATTGAAGTGCGGGTATAGAGAGTACGTTGCAGAGGATATCATAGTGGCCACAGAGAGTTATTCTGATCGGTTGAGGTTGAAATCTGGCGGTAATTGGACGAATGTGTACCGAGGAAGGATCAAACATACGACTGTGGCTGTGAAAGTGATTGGTGATCGTTTATCATACGAGGATTTTGGAGCAAAAGTTCAGCTTTTGAATGAGATCAGGCATCCGAATTTGGTGGCAATTGCTGGGTTTTGTTCACAGCCTAAATGCATACTCTTCGAGTATATGCATAATGGGAACTTAAGGGACAATCTATTCACATCGCAGAGGAAATCGAGAAGAAGCAAGATATTGAAATGGCATGAACGGATTCGTATAGCTCACCAGGTTTGCTCTGGACTCGGATTTCTCCATTCGGTTAAGCCAAAACCGATTGTCCACGGCCGTCTTACCCCATCTAAGATCCTCTTGGACCGTAACCTTGTACCGAAAATAACCGGGTTTGGACTAATAATGCATAGTGATCAATCTGATACGAAACCTGATGTGATGGCTTTTGGGGTTTTGCTTCTGCATCTTTTAACCGGCAGGAACTGGCCAGGTTTGCTCAAGGCAATGTCGATGAACCAGACAAGTATTCTCAGAGATTTGGATAAAACAGCTGGTAAGTGGCCATTGGAGTTAGCTAAGGAATTTGGTGCACTTGCAGTGAAGTGTTCTTCAGTTAACAGAGGAGGGAACATGGATTTTTCAACCAAAGAGATAATGGAAGAGCTTGGTAAGATAAGAGAAAAAGCAGATGAGTTTAGAATCATAGGAGAATACGAGGAAGCAACCAGTTCAAACATCGATGAAGGAGATCCGAATGACATACCGAGTGTTTTCATGTGTCCTATACTCCAGGTATCAAGTCCATATCTTCTCCTTCTCCATATGTAGTAAAATCAGAGAGAAAGCCATTCAGACATCGATATAACTCGTTATCGTTTGCAGGAGGTGATGAAGAATCCACACATTGCAGCAGACGGGTTTTCGTATGAGCTAGAGGCCATAGAGGAATGGTTAAGCATGGGACATGACACATCTCCAATGACAAATCTAAGACTCGATTACCAGATCCTCACACCAAACCATACTCTTCGTTCTCTAATCCTAGACTGGCATAACAAAAGAGCAGCACAAGCCTCCTCCTAGATTCCTATGTAGAACCTCGAATTGGCAAAACCAAAAGACCTTATAAATTCTGTAATTTGATTCACATCTCCTTTATAATCAGCAACAAGGATCAGTCTTTACAAGCTTATCCCCAAAAGAAGATGATCAAAAGCTTTCATTTCAACAAAGCATAATCTATGGAGGATCGAAAACTTCTGTATTTCCTGAAAATTACCGATTCAACTGATACTATCAAACACAAAGAACAAAGGGACAGTCAAAAGTGAAGAGAAAAACAAAC